CGCAAAGCTTAAGCATTTCGGTCAAGGCTTCGGCTTTCAGCAGAAAGACATCTGACATCTCATCAGATCGAATCGAATTTCCGAACAGTTCTTCTTTTTGGTGTAGAAGAGATCTTTGCTCAAGATTTCTCGTCTTCTACACCATTTGGGGTAGTAGAGATCTTTTCCGAGGTTTCTTTCATTTCTTCACCAAAAAGAAGAAAACTTCGGAAATTCGATTTCTCCTAGAGGAACATAGGAAATGACCTACTTTTAAACCTACTTTTTGAGAGAAAGTTCATCATCTTCTTCTTCGGATCTTCTTCTTTTTCACTTTCCCATAACCCATTACTGATCATTCCACTTTCTTCTGCAAAATAGACTCTTAAATATTCAATTATCTTTGGATAAAATTTTTCACCACTTTGTAATATTTCTTTCTCAGAGAAACATGAATTTGACTACAAAAATTTGCGTCACACAGGTGACCTTTTTTCAACTTTTCCTCTGATTCTATAAGAAGGACTGCAAAAGTCATTGATTATCTTTAAAGATTTAGATCATCTTTTTGCATTTTGGCTTTTTTGACCTAGAGCTCCTTTTTACAATATTTTAGTTAAGTGTGTGTTTTTGATTTTTATAAATTTTTCAAAACAGTAAATGACATTTAGAATATAAGTCCACTTCGAGATAGAGATCTATGACCACTCATTTCAGAATCGGTTTGGCCTTCACAATTCATCGCACCGAATCGGGGCAAACAATCGATCGAATCCCATTCATCGGACACCCCGAGGACAGCAATAACTCCAGCCATGCCACCCATTCATCTGCCAATGCACAGCCCGCAACATGTTCGTTTTTGAAAACATTAATCTCTAAGAATATTGAACTCTCGCCTTTCATGGTGATCTTTTTCTTCAATCTTTCTCGGTTCAAATTCTCTTATATATCTTTTATACGTTTTATAGCTCCCTTTTATCCCTAGAATTCCCTTTTAAGCGGTAGCCATCGCCATTTTGCATCTTTTAGCTCGAGGAAAAACCGGGGGAACCAATGCAGATCGATGGGTACAAAAACCGCTATCTCTTTTCTAAAAGATTTTACAGCTATTTTAAAAGTAAAGGGCAGCAGAGCCAAAAAATGGATGTTTCCACGTTTCAAAAAATGGCTTTTCGTTAGTTTTCGGTGCGAATCTGTTTCTCATTTCTAAACGCTAGTGGAATAATTTATATCATTTATAAATAAATCATTTATAGATAAATCATTTATATAAATACTTTATTCAGAAAGAAATAAAAAGCATTAATAAAATATATTATATTAGATAATTTGCATATTAGTCGTCTTTATTTCTCTAACTTTAATCGAACGAAAAATGAACCTGAGCTTGAACAAAACCCGAACAATCCCCAGGTCTTTCATTTGTTTTCCTCCAATCCTCCATCCAATACAATGGGAATTTCAAAGTCTAGACTCAAACTTTAATCTGTGACAATGCAATAATCTCTTCCTTTTTCTCATTAGAAAGCTGTCCTTTTTCTATCACAAGTCATTCCAGACATTTTGCTTTAAAATAACACCTGTCTTTTTCTATACTTTCCATTACTGACGTCAAAAAACAATTGAAATTAATTAAAAATCGAATTTTTAATTAGCTTAGTAATCGCAAAAAAATCCAATGGAAAACCAGTAGATTCTGACTTTATTCTTTTTACAAGGTAAAATCCAAGGTTTTTAGAGCAATTTTAATTTAAAATTTAAAGCAAATTTAAAAAGCAATTTGTGTAAGAGAGTTTATTTTATTTGTATAAGATCTTATAGAGTTTGTATAAGAGATATTTTAAGATTTATTAACTTTAAAATATAGACGATTAAAATTGAAACAAGTTTCAGCTTAGTATTGGGAACGAAAATGCGTATAAAATCTTTGAATGAAACTGGGCACACTACTGTACAAGCGTTTGTTGGATCTCATAGAGTTTGTATAAGAGATATTTTAAGTGCTATCCATCCAATTATCCAACAACAAACATCAGGCAAACAAAACATCAACAACACCATTTTAAGACAACATTGACCAAGTGCAACCAATTAACTCGGACTTGAACTTGGACAATTTCATATCTGGTTTCTTTTCCCCCTTTTTACTATTTTTACACACTTCACCTTTTTCCTTCAAATAAACAATCGATTTCTCTCTCATTTTCACTTTTATCTTAAAATAATCTTTATTTTCTAAAAGCTATTAGAATATAATAGAAAATATCTATCTTAAAGCTTCTTAAAATCAAAATTTCATCAAAATGCCATCGATGATAAAACGACTCAAAAATTTTTGCAACTCAAATTTGATCAATTTTAAAAAAATGCAGTTAGCATCGCTCGTTTCTGATAAATGAGGCTGATACCCATCGGGCAGTTTCTTTTGCACCACCCTAATAGGAGTGCTTAGTTATGCCAAAAATTAATCCCAAACTTGATGGTGGATTTTGGTGCCTTTTCGAGAGTCTGAATGTGCTTCTTCTCGAGTCTCGGATGCCTTTGCGAAAAGGAAGATTTTTAACAACTTTTCCTTGCCAATTCCTTCATTTTATCGGCTCATTGATAGTCAATAAGGCTAAGATAAACTTGATCAAACTTAATGCAACTCCAGCTGTTAATCGGTTGATAATCAAAGTTCATCTACACTTTATTCATCTCCAATTTCTAGGCGCTGAGGTCCCGAGATTCCATGTGATTCGCTCTACAGATGCCCATCAACCGAGCAAATCCCGTCACATCCGTATTCACGGAAAACCCCGACGATGTGCTCCAATTGACAGCCAGTTCTAAACCGAATTCAAGCAAAATCCTTCACATTTCCAACTTGTTTCCTTAAAATCATCAATCAAATGGTCTGCTGGTTAAGCTTACTCACTTTCAAGCCTAATTCTTGAGTCCAACATCATTCATTTCAATCTGTGTCTTCTCATCTTGTTCCAATTTGCCTTAGACAAAGTCCTTACAAAGTCCCACTCCTCGTCTAATCCAATTTTACAATCCACTTTAATCAAATTGTTATTTTCTTCTAGAACATTGTCAATTTTACTTGATATTCAAAATATATCATCTTTGTTTTAAAATTTCTCTAAAGAATCCACAGCCTGTGCGGGTTTTTTATACTTTTCCGTTAAAAGAAAAGTGATGGTTTTTGGATCGTTGGTGTTTTGAAATCAAAAAATTAAAAGAAAATCGTTGACAGGACCAGCAACAAGTGCAGAATGATAAGGAAAACTTCTTCTTTGCAACTAAAACAATTTGATTAAGCCAAGAAGCGTTTACGAGTTTTGTAAAACAAAAGAAATCCGGTGATTATCTTGGTACTCGATGGTATTTGAAAAATCGACGTACATGTAGGTATATTAGAAGTTTTACGCCAATTTATTTGACTATTTTGCTACAACAACAGTCAACCAAATTTAAAACATTATCATTCACCAAAGAATGCTTTCATTGATATCAAAATCATTGAATTCTATCACATGGAGAAGTTCGACTCCAGCCAATTTTTGTCAACCTTTGCATAGACCTACGTTTATTCATTCTTCTCACTAATTTTCTTTCTAGAGGTCACCTAGTTTTGAAAATGACTGTCTTCGAACGTTCAGCTTTCAATTGATCAGCTTAATTTTAAAAATGCTATCTTTCTACCCCATAAAACGCTATTAGACTGTAATCTTTAGACAAAACATACCATTTCTTTCTCGGGAAAAGACCCAACAAAGGTTCGGTTTTTTTTCATTACAGGCTTACCAAATTACTAATTTAGGTTGATCGTTCGGCTGCTTATGGAGCCAGATACAATTTACAATTTTTTTACAATTTTATACAGTTTATAAATATAAATAATTTTAAAATAGGGTGCATAATATTTCTTTTTTAGGTGTCGTATGCAATTGGGATGGCAGAGCCACTGCCGGTGACCGTCATCCCGTACAATACATCGCCGCTTTCTGAGGAGGAATTCCTGGCGATCGTAGGGCTAGGGCTTGAGAAGATGCGAAATAACAGAGGCGGCCAGTGGACATATCATTGTTTCTTTTCGTGACCAGCTACAGTCACTCTATTAGAAAAAGCAGTTCCAGATTTGTTAGTTTTCTCAGATTAAATTTTTGAAAACCACCGTACTCCAGCTACTTTCAATATTTTTTGTGAACGCTGAGAATCTGCCAAAAATTGGATAAAACCACGGGCTATGATAACTTTCTCAAGTTGATGCCTTTTCGAAAACTATTTAATCCTGTTCGATTACCGGTTAGAATTACAATCAGCAATCCTCAGTATTTATCACCTAGTTGTGGTCACCTAGTTTTGAAAATGACCGTCTTTGAACGTTCAGCTTTCAATTGATCAGCTTAATTTTAGTCAAATTCAATCTGCAAATCACAAGCCTCAAAAAATCAGACTAAAATTGGGCTAAAGGGAAAACTGGTAACGGTAGTTAGAAGTTTTATACTAATTTATTTGACTATTTTGCTACAACAACAGTCAACCAAATTTAAAACATTATCATTCACCAAAGAATGCTTTCATTGGTATCCAGATCATTGAATTCTATCACATGGAGAAGTTCGACTCCATCCAATTTTTGTCAACCTTTGCATAGACCTACGTTTATTCATTCATAAAAATTTTTTTTCTAGCTTACTTAAGCTAGCAAGAATGACAAAATAGTCAAAATAGACTCAATTCTTGTTTCAAAGTCAAAGTTGTTTACAAAGAAGTTGTGTTCTTCAAGTATATTTTGTGCTCGAAACACACGCTTTCTAGTCCATTTCTGAAGTTCTTTTATATATGTTTCGTATTCGGACAAGGAATGATTAACATTTGCATTTGTTCAGCGAGAAAGTGATGAATCAATAAAAAGAGAGAAATCGACAATTCCAAAAATCTTTTTGTGCAGAGAGAAAGAAAATTCGACAACAATTCTATGAATTCTAGTAAGAGAGCCGATTTCGAGTAACGGGGTCTGTCTCCTATGTGGAAGGACCGTATGCCAGATGGGGTCGGAAAATGTAGCTGACGATGTCTTGTGGGGGTTTCAGTGTTGGCTTCTGGGAAGACGGGGAGTAATTCGAGGTGAAAAAGGAGATCATTCCAAACGTTAGTCGAATTCTGTAAATTTTTCCAGTTAAATTTTGATAGTTTAGCTGGAGTTTATCTAAAGTGAATGATTTAACTGGATTCTAACAAAGAACGGTTTCTAACTGGATTCTAACACCAGGAAAGGCTTTTAACTGGATTTTCCCTGTAAACCAGACAAAGCTAGAGCCAGGCCTTGGATCTTCTTTGAGCTGCTTGTCTCTTCCTGGTGCAGCCGAGTCTTAGCTTAGCCTAACTTAAACCCTAGGGTTTTAATAATTTTGTTGGGCTTTTTTATAGATTTGTTGATAATCCGTCAATCATTGATCATTGATCATTAATGTCATTGTTGTTTTACCTTCAAAACTCACCCGTATATGGCTAAGACTTGATTTTCACGAATTCATAGGGTGTACTTGACGACGGTGTAGCACCACTGAATCTCAAAAAGTCCCGCTGCAATTGACGCAATGATCCTTGATTCTGAAAATTGAGATTTTTATGGGTGTTTTGAAAGTTTAAAAGCTTCAAAGGTCGATGAAATCTCTTTACTTTAAAGCTAAATATTTGAATCATAAAAATACAAATTTAAATGGATAAATCTCCCCTTTAAAGGCTTTTAACTGAATTCCAACACCAGGAAAGGCTTTTAACTGGACTACCACTACAGAAATTCGTTTAAAGTTCTAGCATTAAATTAAAACGAACCAAAGAATGAAACATGCACATGTTCGGTTCCTCATCTTCACCATTTGGACAATCTCGATTTCCATTACACAATTCAACCGCTCTGATACAAGGCCAATCAATTGGATCATGCGGCTAAAATGGGAACCTTTATCTTACTCGAGTAATATCGGAACAAGCTATGGTACCCTTCAAAGCACCGCTGATTACTGGCACCACACAACTCACTCTAAGTGAAGGACAAGGAGCCCATTTTTCTGTGGAAAATCTTTCTGCTTGACACACTGAAAGATTATTAGTTTTTGTTTACTTTTAAAATATTAAGCTGAAACTTGTTTCATTTTTAATCGTCTACATTTTAAAGTTAATAAATCTTAAAATATCTCTTATACAAACTCTATAAGATCTTATACAAATAAAATAAACTCTCTTATACAAATTGCTTTTTAAATTTGCTTTAAATTTTAAATTAAAATTGCTCTAAAAACCCACCTCTTAAATTCGTGAAATTCAATAGCTTCTCCTTGTCCTGAAAATTTGAAATCATTCATTTAAAACCTGTGGATTTTACCTTGTAAAAAGAATAAAGCCAAAATCTATTGGTTTTCCATTGGATTTTTTTGCTATTACTAAGCTAATTAAAAATTTGATTTTTAATTAATTTCAATTGTTTTTGACGTCAGTAATGGAAAGTATAGAAAAAGACAGGTGTTATTTTAAAGGGAAAACGTCTGGAATGACTTGTGATAAAAAAAGGAAAGCTTTCTAATGAGAAAAAGGAAGAGATTATTGCATTGTCACAGATTCAATTTTGAGCCCATACTTTGAAATTCCCATTTATTGGATGGAGGATTGTAGGATGAAAGACCTGGGGATTGTTCCGGTTTTTTTCAAGCTCAGGTTCATTTTTCGTTCGATTAAACATTTCCTATTTAAAGGAATTTGTGCTTTTGTCATTTCAATGTTATAAATGCTAGTAAAACAAGATTACCAAGATTACAAAGATTTATTGATCAAAAGATCATTGTAAGCTAAACTCAGCCACTTAATCATTATCGTCAAACGATTTCTTTAAGATTTAAAACAAACTCGTGGAGCTGCTTCTGTAAAGATGTTGTGTAGAGTGATGAAAAGGATGAAAAATGACACCACAATTTCTGATCTATTGGAGACTTGACAATGAAGATTTGAAGACAAGACGTCAGTAATGGAAAGTATAGAAAAAGACAGGTGTTATTTTAAAGGAAAACGTCTGGAATGACTTGTGATAAAAAAGGAAAGCTTTCTAATGAGAAAAAGGAAGAGATTATTGCATTGTCACAGATTCAATTTTGAGCCCATACTTTGAAATTCCCATTTATTGGATGGAGGATTGTAGGATGAAAGACCTGGGGATTGTTCCGGTTTTTTTCAAGCTCAGGTTCATTTTTCGTTCGATTAAACATTTCCTATTTAAAGGAATTTGTGCTTTTGTCATTTCAATGTTATAAATGCTAGTAAAACAAGATTACCAAGATTACAAAGATTTATTGATCAAAAGATCATTGTAAGCTAAACTCAGCCACTTAATCATTATCGTCAAACGATTTCTTTAAGATTTAAAACAAACTCGTGGAGCTGCTTCTGTAAAGATGTTGTGTAGAGTGATGAAAAGGATGAAAAATGCACCAATTCTATTTTGAATGTTTGGTGTTGGGTTGAAGGTGATTTTAGGAAAACGTCTGGTGACTTGTGTAAGGAAGCTTTCTAATGAGAAAAGGAAGAGATTTTGCTTGTCACAGATTTTTTGGCCCATACTTTGAATTCCCATTTATTGGATGGAGGTTGTAGGATGAAGACCTGGGGTTGTTCGTTTTTCGCTCAGGTTTTTTCGTTCGATTAAATTTCCTATTTAAAGGGATTTGTGCTTTTGTCATTTCAATGTTATATGCTAGTAAACAAGTTACCAAGATTACAAAGTTTTTGATCAAAGATCTTGTAGCTAAACTCGGCCTTTCTTTCGTCAAAGTTTCTTTAAGTTTAAAACACTCGTGGGCTGCTCTGTAAAGTGTTGTGTAGAGTGTGAAGGATGAAAATGACACCACAATTCTTTTACCCATTCGATCCTTCTGCAAATTTTTTGTGAATATAGAAGAAAAAAGCTTCGTAAAATAGAGGATTAAAAAAGTGAGAAATGAGAAAAAGAATGCAAAAGATTGTGGACGGTGAAAGGAAGGAAAAACAGAAATTTTGACTATATGTTTGGGGGAATCTTGTGATCTATTGGAGACTTGACAATGAAGATTTGAAGACAAGAAAATGAGGAAAAGAAAAAGTATGTTTTGATAAGTTAGCGCACAAAATAGAAAGCATCATGAGATTTGCAAAGGTTTCTTTTACAAAAATTCCTGAATGAGCTGAGCATTTCAATTAAAAGAATTAAAATAATTTCCAAAATAAATCTGAGAGCTAAAAATTTTTTGAACAAATTATTGATTGATTTACCAGCCTACACTTGATCAAGATTTGAATGTTATTGATTTTCAACAACAAGAAAGAATCTAGCGATTGGGTTTTGCGTTCTTTGCTGAACAAATCAAAGCTTTGTGAACAAATCAAAGCTTTGCTGAACAAATCAAAGCTCTGCTGAACAAATCAAAGCTTCAGAACAAATCAAAGCTCTGCTGAACAAATCAAAGCTTCAGAACAAATCAAAGCTCTGCTGAACAAATCAAAGCTTAGTGAAAGGAAAAAGATTAGTGAAAGGAGTGCTTGGATTGGCGTGAAAATTGAAGATTGACGTGACGTGAACTTGGATTGACTCTTTTTCGCATTTGTTTTTGATCTAAAGAAAAAATGAGAGGACACCGAAAAAATAGGATACAAACAGACAGATACCACATAGGATATGAAGCTCTCGTGTTGCCCATCGCTGAAGGAAAGCAGGTGACGCGGAGGCAAGAAAAGACACGAATGGGGAAAGGTACGGTAAGCGGGACAGGAAAAAGGAGGAACGGCAATACGATCTACATATGCACCCGATGATATTCAGAATATTTAAATTGGCTAGTCCAACATTAAGATATTTGAGCTCAAAGTTGGGGTGCAAAAGGGGATGAGTATCGAATAGAATGCACTTTAAAAGAACACGTCATGCACAAGGGTCTTGTAGCTTCGAGTTTAGCAAATTTCGAAGTGTAATATCTTTTTTCCAGTCAGGCGCATTTTTCAGTTGTCAGAATTTCTATTTTTACATGCAAGAAAAACTTTAATAGACAAAAATTTTAAAAAAACGAAAAACCGGCGGAGTTTTGGTGCTCAAAAGTCGTAACATTTGAAAAACACAGAAATTATCAAATTTTAATACTTCTTAATCACAATCGTCCCTGTCTTGGTTCAGCTGGTCCGTGATGTTGCAAAAAACACCATTGAACAAATATTTTATTAGTAAGTTTGAACGAGATTGGGACGGATTACTTCAAGTGTTTGCAGAGAATGTAAAAAGTAAAAAATGTAAACTTGTTTTTGCTTTAAATTCGATAAAAAGTTTTATAAAAGAATTGGTTGAATCAATTCTTCTTCGAAACCCATTCATCGGACACCCCGACGACAGCAATAACTCCAGCCAGGCCACCCATTCATCTGCCAATGCACAGCCCGCAACATGTTCGTTTTTGAAAACATTAATCTCTAAGAATATTGAACTCTCGCCTTTCATGGTGATCTTTTTCTTCAATCTTTCTCGGTTCAAATTCTCTCGCGCTTGATATCTTTTATACGTTTTATAGCAATAAAAATCTTCTATTTGAAGCAAACTATTAATCAATTCATAAGCTTAAAAAACAGATTTATGACAAAGTGTCCAAAGAATTTTCGGCTAACTTTTTAGACTAACAAAAAGTCCCCAATTAATAGCAAACATTAGAACCGGACTGTTGCTAGGCAGCCAGGTAAATTGCGGACTTCATCCTTGCCTTGAGATTAAAAGCTGCAAAAAATAAATCTCTCTATTTTTGGATTCTCATTACATTCGACGTTGCATGATTGTTATTATCGAGCTACGACCAATTGTTTTGCCCCTTCTGGAATTCGGCATCTTCCTTCAAATAGTGAATGAGGGCATCTTCTCAAGATTTTCAGCAAATCGGAAATCATTTGCACTCAACTTTTTGAATTTTCAGAATTAATTTTATGCATATTTCCTTCAAAACACTTTCTCAGTTCTTAGATTCAATGGAAGTTTATACTTTCAAGGATTTTTCTGGATTATCTTTAGCTTTATCTACGTTGATCGCTTCTAATTCGTTTTTCATTGGTTTTATGGTTTATTGGAGTCATTTTTAGTAAGCAATTTATTTGGTTGTTTGATGTGGTTTTTACAACGAGAAATGGTCATTGCTCTAGATTAACCTAAAAAGTAGTTTTGATGACAAAAGTGCCTTTAGCAAGTCATACAAATATCAATTCCAATGACATCTTTTTATTTTCAGATTCAAGAATGCCGGTTGAAAGGCGCGCACAATAGCGAAAGCGTGAACCGGAACCAGCGAAGGCTCAAGATTTACCATTGGAGATCGCACACCAACTCAAAGACGTCCTTTCTATGCCACGCATTGCTTCTCACACTAAGCCTGAACCAGCTTCCTCGGCGTCCCTTCTACCGGCTTTTCCCTATCGAATTTCTACGGGAAGCCGCCTATCCACAATAGCACAATTCATCTACGCATCGCATCCGCCACTACCCGGCATGCAAACGTTGTCGGAGACGAGACTTCCTGAAAAATCTCCAGAGAGATTACCATTGCCTTCTTCTCCAATGGAAACAAAACCAGCTATAAACTGTGGGCAAGACTCGCCCACTACAAATTACTACTACACTACGCCCACTACAAATTACGTCCTTTCTATGCCACCCATGGCTTCTGACATTAAGTCTGAACCAGCTTCCTCGCCGTCTACTCTACCGGCTTCCCCCTATGGATTATCCACGGGAAGCTGCCTATCCACAATGGCTCCGAGTAAGATTACTCTATGTGAGATTGTCAGAATAAAGAATAATTCGTAATTTATTCCTGTCGGTAGATACCAACTTAATTCACATTTAGGGTTTGCTCAAGCTACGACGAACATGGTGGGGTCTGATGGCTCAAGGATTCCTGAAGAAAGTGGGTTTAATTGGAATAAATCTTATCAACATTACAAAAGCTTTTTAAATAAAAAATATTGATAAATCGTAAAAAGATATGACTTTTGAGTGAAGTGCTTTGGTTATAAAGAAAGCGAGCAAATGACTCTGCGTGAGGAAAAGTGTGAAAATGCATCGATATTTGGACTGAATTCAGCCATTTCACATATTCTTTAGCGTGCTCAGTTTTCAAAAGACATTTGCGCTGCTCAAGAAAAGTGTAGACAAGAATCTTATTGGTAAATGCTAAATTAAATGTGAAATCGAAGAAAGTGGGTTTATTTTGTTTCGAGGGCTTCTATCCACTCAGAAACCTAAATTCAGCAAAATTATGATGACTTTTTCAGTGATGGCTCGAAGGGATCGCCTGGATTTGATTAGAGAGAGGTTGGGTGCCAATAACATTCCACCAGTTTTGCCAGGTAAGATCTTTTCAATTTCCCATTCAATAGCTATTTTCAGTCTCCTCTACTCCCGCATTGGTTGCCGCCCTTCCACAGGTGGATTGTTTTTCAAAGCTAATTTATGATACTTTTTAGGTCAATGTTACGGGTGCTTCAATAGAGAATTTTCCACCCACTTCAGCTGATCCGCGAGCAGTCAAAAATGTGAGTTTGTTTAAAGTTTAGCTATTAATAGATCAATTCTAGCACGAAGCGTCCACAAATGTTTCATTGCAAAGCAAGAATCCAACTTCTCTACCATCATGTTTACTCGATCGAGGCATCAAGGTATGAAGCGGGTAGTTTATTGGCGTATTAACAATGTTTAGATCGAGAAAATCATGAAACTCTTTTTCGTGAAAAATGAGCTGGTGGGGCTGTGCAAATACAAGAACTGTCTTGTAATGCAAATTGTTACCGTCGAAAAGATTAAAGAAGTAGACCCACAGGTAAGAATATGTTTGTTATGTTTTACTAATAAATTTAGGCTCTCCTCCGAGCATACGAGCCATTATTCTGGGACACGCAGACCAACGGCTAGAGATTTTTAATTTAAAATATAATTTTTTTTTTCCTTGTTGTTTTTCATTATTTCTTAATTTGTTTTTGCGCTATTTTATATACCTGATAAATATTTTTGTTCTTTTTTGGTTTGTTTATTTTGTTTTGTCACTTTGCAAACAGGAGAATGCTGATGTAAGGGTTCAGAGTTGCTCAATTTGTTTTTCTAGGTTAAAGAATGGTTTGATGTTCCACATGGCTCGGTAACAATTGTTCCTCTCAAGAAAGAGACGAGCGCTCAAATTTTTACAGTATTTCACAAAGGTGATTTGCCTGAAGATTGAGCTTGTACAACATGGATAAAAGGCTTAGGTTGGGTAGCTTGCATATTAATAGTGTTAACGAGAACTCCAGGTAGAAATGTTTCTGTAATACGACGTCCAGACATTGGCCAACCTTTCATGAAGGTTTCTTTTTTAATTTTAAGAGGATCATAGTTATAAGTTAACAAAGATTCAAAGAATGGGACACTGGACAGGACGGGTTTTCCTCTTGTTACTAAAATACCTATGCAACGCTATAAAAATATGTCTTGATCAAAGATTGGAAACTCTTACTGTTTGAGTTTTTGAAGTAAATCTTCAAAGTTTAGGCTTTTCCGAGAAAATCTTATCGTTCTCATCCACGGCAACGCGCGCCCTCATGTTGCAAAACTGACTGGCTCTAAAATAAATAGCTGTTTGGGAACTTTTAGCGCATCCCCTTTTGATTACTTGGGTTGGGGAGATTGAGTCGAGTATCTTCTTACTTTGTTGTGGGGTAATGGTTGTTTCCCACCGAGGAAACCCACTGGATTTTACATGGATCAAGATCAAGCGGAAACAGAAACAATAGAATTTTCCTAAAACATATCATTCATCTTCGTAAGGGGCACCGGTCTCACTGTCGGCAACCTAAAAATTCTTGTCATTTTAAGGTTAACCGATAGACATTTTTTCCTTTAAACCCCAAAACCTTAGCCCGTAATGTTTAACGTCAAGTTAAACAATATCCTGTAATGTTTACCTCCATTCCCAACAATCTTGCCATTTTATTACAAGTTTTCGTCATTTCCCATAGTGTGACTCCGAATGCCCAAACATCTGACGGTTCACCATATCGCTGCCCCTCCAACGCTTCTCTTGACATCCACCGAATGGGCAAACGACGGTGCATCATTTAGAAAATGAAGAATATAGATTTTAATGAAAAAAGTTTGCACGGTGATTTCTCAAAAACGCCACAAATTCCTGAAAGTTTTGTCCTTTTTAGGTTTCTCTTAAAAGTTTCCTAGTTGATTTTATAGCCAAAAGATAGCCAATTTTTTTTACAGAATTTTATACCTGATCTCTCATTGTTTCATTCGTCGAGATTTAGTGGCAAGGAATTGTTTAGTTGATGAGAACCGACTGATCAAAGCGTTGACATTCGGGATGATGAGATCCGCGTATGAGGGGGATTATTATACGGTGAGTAGGAAAATGGTTGTACTAGATTGTACGAATTTGAATGATTGTAGTGATTCTAATGATTATAATGATTGTAATGATTGTAATGATTGTACTGATTTGCAGATTTGCACCTTGAACCGTCTGAGATCAGCATTGAACCGTCGAACAGAAGTAATCGAGTTCTTTTTTGGGTGGGTTCGAATCTCCAATTGCGAATTGTTTATTTTTAACAATGAGATTTACAAATAGTTACAATATTTTGTTTATTTGCCACATCATAAAACTTGAATAAAATGAACAAAGTCTGTGCTGGTTGAGTTCTGCTCCACAAAGTTTTAGCGACTATTTAGAATGTCTGGCAAATCTTTGAGCTAATCTTTCTACTGATAGGCTAGACTAACCAATACTGAAAAAATTGTCCCGAATCGGCCCTGAATGGGTCCCAAATCGGAACCATGGAACTTGTGAATGTCCACCTGGATATTACGGAGCAATTTGCTCGGAAGGTTAGGCTTGTCGTTTTATAATAATTTGAAGCAAACTATAATTCAACTATTTCTCTTTAGTTTGCCCCGCAGGCCGTTACGGGCGAGAGTGCATGCGCATTTAATAAAGCGAGAAAGTCAAAGTAAAGAGATTCAGCGAACTTTCAAGACTTTAAACTTTCAAAGCACAACCCACCTAAATTTTCAGAGTCAAGGATCATTAAGTCAGAAAGCAGCGAGACTTTTTGAGATTCAGTGATTCCACTTTCGTCAAGAACACCCTCTGAATTTGTCAACAGCAATTCTTTTGATTACTGTTCTTCTTTTCGCTGAAGAGATGAAAATGTTAATAATTTATTGTCTTCATAATTAATTCAGATTCTAATACAAAGCTATTTTGAAAATGGGGCCAACTTCTTTGATGCTTTATTAAAAAATGTTCGTTGTTTCATTAAAACTTATCGGAGTGTTTTGGATTTACGATAGATGTTAGGACAGAAGTTTTGGGAACGAAGTAGCCTCAACATTAATTCGCGACACTCTTTTCCTTTAAAAATAGTTCAAAAAATAGAACGTCACTTCAAAGATTTGATTTTAAGCCTGAAATAAAGCGTGAGGTCTTATTTTAAGAATCCGCCATCAAACAACATTAATTCTCGACGATCTTTCGATGACTGTTCTAAAAGCGCTTGCCGCCTCCACTTTTAGGTTTGATCTTACGACATTGCTCCTAAAATAGAATGTATAGTACCCATCTGTCTAAAATAAATTTAAAACAAAAATTTTTGATAATGGGCACTGTAGACCGAAAGCCTCTAGCCGAATATTTGTTACGCTATGTTTATACGGTGTGTTTTGAAGTTGTTTCCAGGGCACTTGGGGAGCAAGCGTCAAGCTAAAAGACATCCTCTAAAAGACATCTATTCACGAAACTACCGCAAATCAGACAGTTTTCCTATTCAATAAACAGATGCTTAAAAAAAACCTCAACACTTTATTTTAGGCTTAAAATCAATCTTTGAAGTGACGTTCTCTTTGTGAACTATTTTTAAAGGAAAAGAGTGTCGCGAATTAATGTTGAGGCTACTTCTTTCCCAAAACATCTATCCTAACATCTATCATAAATCCAAAACTAATTCTTAACACTAATATTTTTACAAAAAGAAAGCTCGATCTGAAGCAATGGTCCTAAAATAGAATAATAATGAAAGTTTTCGGGCTTTTCGGGCTAAAGAATGATAAGACATTGAAACAAACAAATGTCCACGCCATAGTTTTTTCTTCCTTTTACTCGAAACATCATCAGGTATAAATCCTGCCACTATTTTACTTCAGCATTCAAAATATTGAAAAGCTAGGTCATAATCAATAGACTCGTGTTGAGATTCATTACGTATTTATAGACATAAGCATAAAGCCCAGAGCGGTTGCTTGGCTATGAAATCTTTTCTGATAGATGCATCTGAAGAGATCTGTCCAAAGAAATGTAAAAACAAAAATCGAAAAAATTCTTTTCACACTGGTTTGTTTGTTTGCTTGACCTGCGGTTGATTTTTAACATCGGACCCAATGTATTATTTTGCTGTTAGAGCCTAAAAATAAAAAAAAATAAAATTGCAGGTTAATTTTAGAGCTTTGAGATAATGTTCACTTTATCTTCGGAACTCCTTGATCTCAAATTCAAACTTTTTAAAATTAGAAGTTTTTATTTCTTGCGCAGCCAAAAACGATGCCTAAAGAATTAATGGGGGAGAAAGCCCCTCCTACTTTCAAATCGTCACTTTCAAAACATTTTCTCTTTTCGAAAGCGCTTCTTAAAAATATGCCTTTTGTTATTTTTTTACAAGTAGAGCATGGGTAATTATTAAGGGAATTTTAGGGTAGATGCGTCCTCTCTTCTGCGCTCTGTTATTGAGGGTTGTGGGTACCGGTTGGCCAGATGGGCGTCTTCTGGAAGGCGGGATTTCTGCTCGACTAGGGGTTCGCTATGCCGACCAGCCAAAACGATTTCAGGTTATAGGAAGGAATGGAGTTTTTACTCAAACGGTTGCTTGGCTATGAAATCTTTTGCAGATGCATCTGATGCATCTGAAGAGATCTGTCCAAAGATATCTAAATCGAAAAAATTCTTTTTTTCAGATAGCTTTACTTTTCTTTCTTCTTTCTATGGTGTCCGTGAAATCAAAAGAGCTCTCTGGACAAGAGTTGCTCGATTTTGTGAGCAAAAACAAACAACTATGGGTGCCAAAGCCGGAAATTTTGAATTCATCCGAAGTGCAGCGATACGGTGTCATGGATGTGAAATACATTCAGGTTTGTAAAAAAACAAACTTAAAAAGGAAACCTTTTTTGGTATCTAAAGCCCAAAAGTAGTTTGTCTTTAATGTTTTTTAAGGGCATAAATGTTTGATCATGATTTGGTACCGGAAAAATCTTTTGATCTAAGCTTTACCGACTATCCAAAGGTCTTTTAATGGTTGAACGTATCTTTATTGTGCTTTTCAGATTCCCGAGGGCGCACCGACTCTTGAGCTTGGAGAGGAAATTGAGCTTGGAGAGGAGACTGAGGAGATTCCCGAATTCTTCGATGCTCGACAGAAATGGCCGGAATGTATTTCAATTGGGTGGATTCGAGATCAATCAAATTGTGGATCTTGTTGGGCTGTGGCGGCGGCTGAGGTAAAGCTAATATGTTTTGATAATAGGTTTTAAAACAGGATAAAAGCTATGCACAAAGCTAGCAAAGTGCAAGGCCTCTCTTGATTGCAATAGGATGAATGTCGGTATGGCGCAGTGGGTGGCGCAATTGGCTGGAAAACGAAAAGTCGCGGGTTCGAGCCCTTGCGCCGACATTTCTTTGTAGTTGTCATAGCCGAAAAGGTTTGAGTTTTCTTGACTAGCCGAAGAGTTTTCAAACCATATTGACCAGAGGTTTGAAACCTTTTCGGCTACGACATACACTCTCAGACATTCACGTTCAACTAGCACATTAAAATGAATGTATAGGTGGCCTCGGATCGAATGTGCATCAATCCACCATATTACTCTATGATGCTCTCATCTGAAGATATTCTCTCGTGTTGTGGCCGTCAGTGCTATCAACAGGAGGCCTGTCGGGGTGGTTATCCATTTGCGGCGATGAATTGGTAAACTTTACATGCATAAATTGATAAACTTTACAATTTACAATAGCTTTCAGTCAGCGATGTTGATTCAGGTGGAAGACGAACGGGATCGTCACCGGCACCGAGTACACCGATCACCAGGGTTGTCGTCCGTCCATGCCCAGGTTGTTCCATTCGATCCGCTCCAAGATGTCAACAACAATGTCAACAAAGCTATCCGAGAGACTACACACAGGATAAATACTTTGCCGAGGAAGCCTATTATGTGCCTGGAGATGTGACAACGATTCAACGAGAGATCCTTGCACATGGACCTGTGGAAGCCGCCTTCAGGCTTTTTCAGGATTTCTATCATGTTGGAAAGAGAATCTATCATGTAAGCTATTAAATGTTAGATATTCTAACATTGTGAGTTTTTCAAGTTGTTTAAAGCTCAATAACCCTATCATAGATTAGAATCATAAATACATTATAAAATAGATACATCACTTATTTTAGGGTCAAGTCCCATATTGGCTAGCGGTGAACTCATGGGGAGCCGGCTGGGGCGATCAGGGACTCTTCCGAATCCTTCGCGGAAACAACGAGTGCGGCTTTGAGGATGGAATTGTGGCCGCTCTGCCGAGAAGTTGATTTCTGCAAAAACCCTATGCAAACATTGTAAATGCAAATAATGTAAATGCAAATAAATATAAATAAACTTTTAAATGTCACCGAAAACATTTTTATTAGGCTGGTAAGAACGTCTTTTCGCCTTTTTGTATATTCCCGTCTAGAAAAGATGAATGCACCAATTAGCATACAGTTTATTTCTTTATAGTTTTTACAGTTTTACAGTGTTACAGTTTGAAACGATAACTCTTTCTCCACAAAAGAACGTTGAATTATTGTGAAAATGTTTGGTTTTTGAGTTTTTTCAGAGCCGCAAAGTCGGCTAGTCGAAATGGCGACCACTCAATCACGCGATTCTATTACATCTATTACAACAGTTAATCGAGTTTTTCAACATTATATTCTACTCTGTGGAATTACTGCAAAGACATAGGCACCCTCGAAAACGTTGAGAATCTTGGCGGGAATTCCTCCCAAAGCTGCACAACGACGAACCTCGTCGACGTAGAACTCGGCTGAAAACAGGTGTTTCTCAACAGGAATACCTATCCCGGTGCGGTATTGGTATATATTGTTTTTTGCTCAATTGTTTTTTGCTCAATGCACCTCTGGCCGTCTTCTTTGCTTATCCTCAGAGTTAAACAGTGGAAAAATGTCAAAACTGATTGGATAGGGCTGAATATTTAACGTGTTTGATAAAAATACTTGCGCTTTCTGAATAAATAGAAGAATTTGCTGAATAGCTGGTTTTTAAAGACATGAAAAAGAATGAAGAAGCCATCAAACCATTTCAACCACCCTTTACTATTCTGTTTCAAGACTAGTTTCCGCACTTTAATTCTTGTGCTTTAAAACCAATTGTTACGAATAGGCGAAGTTTCAAAAGGAATATTTTTGAAAAATTCAATATTGCATGCTTTTTATACAAAAGCTCTGGAATTTTTAAAAAGGACATTTGCGAAGTTGATTTGCAATAATAATCGACACTTTTTTCAATGAAACAATTAAGGAACACATATCCTCAAAACTTGAAAACATAATATCCTAAAAACCATGCCCCGATCAGTTTTGACCGTCCTACTAGCATTCAAAACACAATTTGAATAATCTTTTCAACCCACTTTAATTGCTCAGATACATGCACACATCCTCATTCGGTATTTGAAAGCTTTCAGGAGGGCATTTAAAAGAATCAACATTCAAAATTAATAACCCAAAAAATGCTAGAAACTAGTCTTTCATCAAGCTTCGTACAGTCGATTGGAAAATCTCCAAAAACTGAGAAACAATAAAATGAAATTGAATTACTCTGCTCCTTAAGCTCTTCTTATCACCAACTTTTACGACGCTTCAAGTATCCTTGATAAATTTATTGTCTTTTACAGAAAAGTGTTAAAAGTAAAAAGAAAAAGTGTAATCAAATCTTTTCAAAACGAAGAATCAATTCGAGTAAAATTGTTTTTATAAGTTTTATATAGTTTACTCTTTTCTTCAAGAGTTAGTCTTCTTGATCTGTTTGTTAGTTTAAAACAGATACTCGGCTGCCGTGGCAAATAAGTGATCTCACTTGAACTTGCCCAACCAAGAAGGAAGTTTGATAACTGAAGTTCAAATTGAAGTTTGATAACTGAACGTTTAAAAACCATAGTTTTACAGAAGTTTTCAAAGAAAACACATCAAAGCACTATAACATAGACACATGAATCTAATGAATGAAACGACACCTTCTTGGAATGAATCGACACCAAATTTCAGCCCATTTGTTGTCACCCTGTATGGTCATGGCCCAATGAATTATGAGCAATGTAACTAATATAGCTTTAACAATGCATTTTAACTTCCGACGAGGTCTCGGTATACTTAATTTAGATTCGAATACATTTGATTGTTCTTTTGCACAAACAATCTAACAATAACAATCAACAAAACTTTTGCTAAAAAAGTATTTTGGAATCAGAAACCATTATTGTTAAATTGTGAATCCTATGACCAATTAACGGCTTCGAAAATGCGCTTCGAAACGAATAGAAACGGCAAATTTTGCTTTTATAGCATCGTGCAAAAGTCTTGAACCAGTGCCAACTTCCACTAATTTAGCAAACAATATCATTGCTCTATAGGGTAAGTTAAAAAACAAACTGACCTTTTGGATACCCTTTTCCATCTAGTTTACAAAGTCCAAGAGTTTACCAAGTTTTCAAAAAACGGAGATATGTTGAAATATTGGGTTGGGGAGAATGAGTCGGCGCCGAAAATCAAAGAAATTTCTAAAACTTATAGCAGACTTTGTCAAATGATATGATATCCGTAGAAGGGTAACTAATTCTCTACAAAATAATATTTAAAAGAGAACTCAAACAGCGCCTCAACTCAACAAAGGATCATTTTTTCACAAAATCGATAAACTGTCATCTAGAGTAAACGGTTGGAGGGATCTTCCTGAAAATTTGGTAACTTATGTAATTTGGTTTTATGTAAAATTTGGTAACTTAAGTGTGCTCTATCTTTTTTATATAAACACCAAAGGAGGTTTATGTGGAAGAAACTGTTCAAGCAATGAGTCGTACTTTTTGTCATTTTGATTAGCTGTGTTTGGGAATCCATAAAATCCCAAAAAAGAAAAGCTTTGTGGAATCCCTCAAAGGCCATTTTGTAAAGAAATAGTGGACCATTTTGATGAAACAAAACGTGTATTTAAAGAAGGTTTTATGGGTGCAAAAAGTTTCTTTAAATTTCGGCGCCGACTCATTCTCCCCAACCCAATATGTTTTATGGCTTTAAGGTTTTGAGCCTCGTCAACTTCTACGATTCCATTGGTTTCTCCAATTTTTCCTCTCAGATTGTTTACCAGATATTCCACGCAAAGAATCCTAGTTGTTGAAGTCGACCGCGGTGATTCATCTCCAATTCTTTCGCACAATAGTTGATCGAGGTCCACTGTTGAGTCCAACCATAATGGTAGGGTTGTGAGAAACGGGATTTTGGTGCTCTCCATCCTTGAGCCAACACGCAGGTCGATCGCTGTCCAGCACGACGTTTTGTCATATCCGCATTGGGGGTTCTGATTGTGCAATAGCTTCATGACGTGATGGTTGGCGCATGTGCGAGTAATAAGCAAGATTGTTGAAAGAACGAGATTGCATTGGCCTCGGTAGTCGGGAAGCGAAACATGAATCCACCGCGCCCTTAGAAAATAGTGGAAAAATGATTTTCTGTGGTTTTCCTTGTTCATTTTCATGGAAGGATGCAAATTTGGCGGTTGTATAACGGAAAAGAACCCTTTTCGCGTTGATCGTGAGCCATCGGCCTCGTTAGTCGGTAAGCGAAACATGAATCCAAGTCCGACTTTGGGTAGGCCAACACTTCGACTTGCAGCCTCAGTACTTCTTCAGCAAAGAGATCCGAGATTTGATCCGAGACTCGCCCACTACAAATTACTACTACACTACGCCCACTACAAATTACGTCCTTTCTATGCCACCCATGGCTTCTGACATTAAGTCTGAACCAGCTTCCTCGCCGTCTACTCTACCGGCTTCCCCCTATGGATTATCCACGGGAAGCTGCCTATCCACAATGGCTCCGAGTAAGATTACTCTATGTGAGATTGTCAGAATAAAGAATAATTCGTAATTTATTCCTGTAGGCAAGAATCTTATCGGTAGATACCAACTTAATTCACATTTAGGGTTTGCTCAAGCTACGACGAACATGGTGGGGTCTGATGGCTCAAGGATTCCTGAAGAAAGTGGGTTTAATTGGAATAAATCTTATCAACATTACAAAAGCTTTTTAAATAAAAAATATTGATAAATCGTAAAAAGATATGACTTTTGAGTGAAGTGCTTTGGTTATAAAGAAAGCGAGCAAATGACTCTGCGTGAGGAAAAGTGTGAAAATGCATCGATATTTGGACTGAATTCAGCCATTTCACATATTCTTTAGCGTGCTCAGTTTTCAAAAGACATTTGCGCTGCTCAAGAAAAGTGTAGACAAGAATCTTATTGGTAAATGCTAAATTAAATGTGAAATCGAAGAAAGTGGGTTTATTTTGTTTCGAGGGCTTCTATCCACTCAGAAACCTAAATTCAGCAAAATTATGATGACTTTTTCAGTGATGGCTCGAAGGGATCGCCTGGATTTGATTAGAGAGAGGTTGGGTGCCAATAACATTCCACCAGTTTTGCCAGGTAAGATCTTTTCAATTTCCCATTCAATAGCTATTTTCAGTCTCCTCTACTCCCGCATTGGTTGCCGCCCTTCCACAGGTGGATTGTTTTTCATATGTTATTATGTTTTACTAATAAATTTAGGCTCTCCTCCGAGCATACGAGCCATTATTCTGGGAACGCAGACCAACGGCTAGAGATTTTTAATTTAAAATATAATTTTTTTTTTCTTGTTGTTTTTCATTATTTCTTAATTTGTTTTTGCGCTATTTTATATACCTGATAAATATTTTTGTTCTTTTTTGGTTTGTTTATTTTGTTTTGTCACTTTGCAAACAGGAGAATGCTGATGTAAGGGTTCAGAGTTGCTCAATTTGTTTTTCTAGGTTAAAGAATGGTTTGATGTTCCACATGGCTCGGTAACAATTGTTCCTCTCAAGAAAGAGACGAGCGCTCAAATTTTTACAGTATTTGACAAAGGTGATTTGCCTGAAGATTGAGCTTGTACAACATGGATAAAAGGCTTAGGTTGGGTAGCTTGCATATTAATAGTGTTAACGAGAACTCCAGGTAGAAATGTTTCTGTAATACGACGTCCAGACATTGGCCAACCTTTCATGAAGGTTTCTTTTTTAATTTTAAGAGGATCATAGTTATAAGTTAACAAAGATTCAAAGAATGAGACACTGGACAGGACGGGTTTTCCTCTTGTTACTAAAATACCTATGCAACGCTATAAAAATATGTCTTGATCAAAGATTGGAAACTCTTACTGTTTGAGTTTTTGAAGTAAATCTTCAAAGTTTAGGCTTTTCCGAGAAAATCTTATCGTTCTCATCCACGACAACGCGCGCCCTCATGTTGCAAAACTGACTGGCTCTAAGATAAATAGCTGTTTGGGAACTTTTAGCGCATCCCCTTTTGATTACTTGGGTTGGGGAGATTGAGCAAGAGCAACAAGAGCAAGAGACGAGCAACAAGTCATTTAACATTTCGCGCTTTTCCTATCACTTTCTTTCACCTTTGCTCTCTTACAGCTAGCAAACAATTGGCCACCAAGGCTGCCCGCAAGAACAGGAAGAAGAAGAACAAGAAGAACAAGAACAAGAAGGACAAGAAGCTTGAAGTTAGTGGGCGGGATCTGTTGGCGCAAGAGACGTTTTTCCCGTGTGCACAAATGGCGGTGCGGTATTGTCATGGTCCCAAAGTTATGACGAGCTGTGCAGAAAATTTGACGTAAAGTAGCCAAAGATAATTGCCAAATGGTCCTATCAATCAGTTTGATTTTGTCACTATAGACAGCTGGTTGCTTATTCGATAAAAGTCTCAAATGAGGATATGCGCAATTTTAGTGATTGCTTTCGTTTTGATGGCTTTCTCGGGAACACTTATTCAGGTGGGGAAGTCGATTGAGTGTCGTTTCTCAAAAAAAAGAACTTTTACGTAATATTTTAGGACAAAAATGCATATTGAATTTTTGCAATGTAGCAATGATTACGGCAACTTTACAAATTACCCACTATTTGGAACACTACTGTAACCCCGAAAACGCGTTACTCGCACAGAATCCTATTCTAGATTCCCCAAATTATTCTCAATAAAAACAATCTTTTTCCTGGCTTTATGCACTGCAGACGAGTGTGAGCGGATTTTACACTGTCGAAATGCGTTCTTCGTCTTTCTCGCTGGGAGGAGAAATGCTGGGCTGAAGATGATGAAGATGATGGGGATTTTGAATGAAAGCCAAGATCAATATTTGTAGTTATTTATTGTCTTTCAAAGAAACGGGTTCTTTTTGGAAAACCAAATCATCTCAATTGTTAGATCCCAGTGAAACTGTGGAACTATCCGGGTGCGCCGTAAGAAAAAGTGGCATCTTGCATACGGCACGCCCGGATAGTTCCACAGAGACCCCGAAATTCGGTTTAATTAGCCAAGGGTTAATTGCCTCGGGTTTTTGGCAATTAAGGCAATTAACCCTTGGGCTCTGGCTTCCTTATATCTTTATTGTGAATTTGAAGAAGCCAAAGCCATTTCCAGAGTCGTCTATCGTACCTGACTTAAAGGAATTGAAAATG